GAGGCCATGGCGGAGCAGACAGTTCAGGAGGCCATGGTGGAGTAGGGAACTCAGAAGGCCATGGCGGATCAGGGGACTCTGGGAACCATGGCGGAGCAGGCGGCTCGGGGAGCCATGGCAGAGCAGGCAGTTCAGAAGGCCATGGCGGAGCAGCCTCCGACAGCTGGAGCCCTACTAAAAAAAAATAAGAGCTCCGAGACCCTCCGTGGGCAAGACATAGGAAGATGAGCCCTACGTGGGCTAAACTCAGGAACAGGAGCCCTCCGTGGGCAAAACTCTGGAACAGGAGCCCTCACTGGGCTAGATTCAGGGACTGGGAAGCGCTATTGCGGTGGCTGGCGGGCTTGGGTCAACAGGCTTGAGTGAGCCGTGGCCGGCGGGCTTGACAACGGAGCGGCGAAGCATGCGGCGGTTTCCATGCCGCTGGGAAAAACAGGAAAACAAAACACTTTCAAAACCAAAAAACAAACACGGGGAGAAGGGGCGCCGCTTACTGTCTCTGGTCCGGTATTCTGTCACGGTTGCACTACTGTGAGGAGTGCGGAACGAGGAACGAAGGAGACCAGGAGTACATCAATCGAGAGATGAATTTAATGGGAACACGGAAAACACACGTAGCACTTGGACGAACAATACCGGACAAAGAACTCAAAACAGGAAACACTTTAAATACACAACTTAATCAGGAGAAGACGAGACACACCTGGAATCAAATGAGAAACAATCAGGGAGCAGGAACACGGAGAAAACCAAATAAGGGCAAGGAAGGCACATGGGGAGCAAAACACACACAAAACAAGGAACAAAGTCTGACAATAGTCTAAGCTCAATCGCCCCACCTCTCTCAAAAAAGCGTAGGTCAAACTCAAGGTGCCACCTGACTTTTGAATACCTTTACCTAACGGCTTTCACAACTGCACAAGTTCTAAAACCAGCAAGACTTCACCGAATCCAAAACTGTGACCCAAAAATACTGTCATTTCATGTTCATTTACTATAAACTGCTAAACAGAAACTATAGAGGCTTGGTGCTTTTCATCTTCTCTTTTAGCTTCCCATCCATTCTGCTTCGTACATTATAAGACTGAGTACTGAAGAACATTTCAGATGACTGTTATTTATCCAGCAGCGAGCACTGGAAGTGAAAGACAGTCAGGGATTGGGAGGCTGAGTGCTTTATCTCCTGTGCTTTCACAGAGCGCTGAGGCGCATCAGAGATGCAGAGAGGGTAAATGCACTTCTCCAGCACAGAAAGAAAAGAAACAAAAACAAGCAGGCATGTATCTAATTAGAACAAAAATAGTCAGAAACAGAAAGAAGTCAGCTGTGACAGACCAGAGCAGGTGGTGAACCTAAACAATCAGATAGGAGATGCTGTTACCGAAAGGACAACATGCATTAAATTGCATACTATTAACACATAATGCATTTAAAATAAGGGATGGGTCACAATAGTTAAGTGGACTAATGTAACAACTGACTGCCTGATTAGTGAGGTAATATACTGTAGATGATACAGATTTTTTTGATAATTGTGTATTTTTGTGTATTTTTGATAATGAACTGTGTTGGTTATGTGCTGCACTAAACATGAACATTTTCAGTAGATTGGGATATGGATGGGTACACATTATTTTTTAAAGAAACAGTTCACCCAAAAATGAAAATGTACTGAAAATTTACTCACCCTCAAGCCATCCATGATCCCCATTGGAACAAATTTGGAGAAATTTAGTATTACAGAACTTGCACACCATGATCCTCTTAAGTGAATGGGTGCCGTCAGAATGTGATGTTTTATCAGCTGTTTGAACTCTCAATAATTCACAAGTAATCCATACAACTCCAGTCCACCAATTAACGTCTTGTGAATTCTGACGGCACCCATTCACTTCAGAGGATCCGATGGTGAGCAAGTGATGTAATGCTAAATTTCTCCAAATCAGTTCAGATGAATAATAATAAAAAACGAATCTACATTTTGGATGGCCTGAGGGTGAGTAAATTTACATCTTTGAGAATACTATTCCTTTAACTAGACCAAAACAAACAGTGCAACAGAGTGTGCCCACATTTTCAGCTGCCTTGGCTCTGGAAGTATTACATATGTAGTAATATAATTGTAACCAGGAATTCCACTGCTAAACACAATTATTGTAAAAAAAGTAAATAAATAAAAAGCTGAAATAATGCAGGCCTTGGAGAAAATGAACAGGATTTTTACTTCTGAAAACTGGTTTGCTGGTCCTCAAATTGATGCCCAATGTTCCGTTACAAAATACAAAGAGAACGCATAGAGAGTAGATCACCGCACGAGTCCTGCCGAGTGGAGTTACAAACCAAAGTTGGTGGTAATGAACTGAAATCAAATAATTTGTTCTATCAAAGTACATTAAGATAAAAGCAATTCAAATGAAATCAAACCACGTTAAATCCTTTTGAATGCCTTTCTCCTGAAAGAGGCACAGATGATGAATTAGGCTCCTGTATGGGTTTTTAAAACATTCCAGCATCAGCCTCTCAGCCCTTTAGCTTCATGCCAGGTGGCAGCTGGGAGAGCTGCCTTTTAATCTGGTTTGGCGGTCCTAAATCACTGCCACAACAGCAGGCATGATGTAGGGGATTTTGGAAGAGACATTCACTCAGACGCTCCTCTGGCCATGGGTTGGGCTCTGTCTCTCTCTCTCTCCCCAGGTGTGTGGCCTTGTTTGCCATATGTCAAGTGAGTGAACCACTAATATCCACAGGGCACCTACAGGAGCCTGCCCAAAAACTAATTTTTTATTTATGTAGTATGACATTGAAAACCAGAGTCAGTCACATAGGCTGAAAGAACCTTTGGTCATACTTCATGCTTCGGTCATGAGTCATGGGTGTTATTATGATGCTTTTTAAAGATTCAACAGATTCAACCTCATGATGGTGCCCAACTACTTGTTCTGGCTGTCACACTGAGAGGCATACTTTAGCCCCAGGATAAAACTGTCTCGCAGACTGTTGAATCTCTTCGGCTCTGTCTGCATACATTGCTCTGAGTCTAGCATTACTTTTAACCCGTCTAAACCCTTATGCCATTTCTAAGGATGCTGAGTCCTCTTTAATAGAATGAAAGCCAAATCCCTCTAAGTAGACCAAAAAGTGAACAGAGTTTAAAAGTACCCAGTTCTTTAGTATTCACACAGTCTCAGGTCTCTTTTCACATTACCATTCATGCATTTAGCAGATGCTTTTATCAAAAGCAACTAACAACAGAACATTTGGTTTTGGTTTTGGTTTAACTTTAAGCTGTTTTTTCTTCCCTCAAAATATCATATTTTTACATTATTTTTAGTTTTGAGAAAATTAATGCATTTCCATAATTTTAATATAAAACTATATCTTGATATATACACAACTGTTCAAAAGTAAGATTTTGTAATACTCCCGAAAAAAAATTTGTAAGCTCACCAAGGCCACATTTATTTGATCAAAAATACAGTAAAAACATATTATAAATATATAAATATTATAAAATATATATAAAACAATATTGTGAAAAATTATTACAATTTAAACTAACTGTTTTCTAATTTAATATATTTTAAAATGTAATTTATTCCTGTGATGGTAAAGCTGAATTTTCATCAGCCATTACTCCAGACTTCAAGGTCACATGATCCCTCACAAATCATACTAATATTCTGAAGAAACTTATTTTTTTTAAATTACCAATAATGAAAACTGTTGTGTGTCGAGTAATATTTTTGTGGAAACCATGTCTTTTTTTCAATATTCTTTGATGAACAGAAAGTTCAAAAGAACAGCATTTATTTGAAATAGAACTCTTTTGTAACATTATAACTGCCTTTACTGTTTTACTTGAGATCAATTGAATGTGTCCTTGCTTAATAAAAGGATTCATTTATTTTTTTAAACTTACCCTAAACTTTTGAACTGTACTGTATTTTGATATGAATATACATATTAAGAGGTACATTTCAGCAAATTTAATCATGTTTGATTAATCGTACAAAAAAATTGGTTAATTAAAATAGATTTTTAATCTTCTGAAAGCCTCAGGCTACATCCATTCACACAAAATTATTATATTTCTGATTATTATATTTCATGACTTTCATGCAGCATTACAAGGTGGTCGAGCTAAACCCTCGAGCCTTCATTTGTGCAGAACACTGAAGACCTCTGAGAGTCTCTGAGTAGTTTATATATAATATGATCCTCATTGTTATCTCAACAGAAATAAAATAAGCGGCTCATCTCCTTCTCTGTGTGTCATCATTACCTCTATATGGTTCACAATATTACAAACAAACCGCACAG